ATCATCGTGCACGTGGACAGGATGAAAACACGGGGTACTCCTCCAAACAGGAAGCCTAGCTATGGCAGCGGAGCTGGAGCACCTACTACACTTACGACCAGTCTCGTCAAACTGATGGGAGGTGGTGAAAGTCTGAATCGCAGAAAAGGCAGGAGGGGGGGGAGGAGGTGGCTCACGTTGTTTCTTCCCGAGAGGCTCCTGACGTTTCTCTGCGACGATGGTGTCGAGCGTGGCGCGGAGTAGGCGAAGCCGTACGAGTAGAACCCTCTGCTCCCACTGCTCAGCACGCACTCTCTCCTCTGCGCTGACCTGCACACGACTGGCGGCGGACCCTGCAAGTATATCAGCCACCGCATTACCCAAGATCATCCACATAGGAAATTTCCCAGATAAAGCGTCACGGGCCTCCAAATGTGAGTTGACGAACAACACCACAAACGAAGCAGGGTCCCTGGAGGAATCGAAAACATCACCAATACGATGCCAAAGATCGGCATCTGGTCCCGAGGGCTCTCGATACAATTTTGAGGCCCATCCTTCAGCTACATATTCATTGTCCGTCGTGTGCACCACTCGGCCCGACGAATGTTCAGCGGTCAAGAGAAGGGCCCGAAGCTCTCCACGAGAAACTGACTGCCGTTCTCCTGCCAGCCCTCCAGACATCGAGCTGTCGATCTCGAGGGGTTCGAAGGAACTGATACAGGCAACCGAAACGCCCACGCGGCGATACCTTGTGTGCCCCGATAAAACACCGCCGCTGGCATCTCCAAACAGAAAGATCGGGGCGTCCCGCGAGCCGTGTCCGAACGTCCCTGTCACAAGAATCTCTCCTGATGCCTGCCAGTGCTCCTCCTGCGACGGAGGCGAAACCTGAACTAGATGGGATGGGAGAAGCCCGCGGAGCCAGAAACATTCCATGGATTCCCAGCTGGAATAGGCCTCCCCCACCAAACATTCTGAACACTTGTAAGCTGCGGCTTCAACATTGTGACTGCAGCCCCACATGCGATGGAATGGGGTCTCTGGAGCCTCACCGCACCGAGGGCACTTCGTGTCGAAGGGCTTGCCCTTGGTCGCAAGGAACTCCCCGCGGCGAGAACGAGTCCAGTACCTTCCAGCTGCGATAGTGACCAGTAGTTCTGCAAGCCGAGCTCCACGGTCGACCGACTGCAATTGTGAGTACAGCTGTCGCAAGGACGTGCAGTCGATGCCGCCTTCCATGCCACCGCCACAAAAGTGTCGAGATGCCTGCTCCCACAGAGACGAGCGGATAGAATTCTGCACGTCGCGAATGAGGTGGCCAAGGTCATCGACATCAGGCCATCCTGTCCACGCTGAGTCGGGGAAATGCCATTCGATGGACTCGTCCTGTGGATCGGCTGCAGGCTTGAACCATTCGATAGCTGACCTTGGGTCCCATCCGTTATTCAACAACAAAGTGATGACAGCAGAAACTGGTCCACGTATGTGCCGCGTGCGCTGCCCTGATGGGATGGCACGAAGCTTCTCCACCAGGGGGTTCCACGCGCGGCAAACTCCACGTCTAAGCCCTGGCTCCTCCTGCCAAACTCGAAACCATTGTCGTAACATCTCTTCTGGAAGTTTGAGTGCTGGGTCATGCGGAGCTCGTAGTGCCAGGACCGTGGTGAGACAGCGACCCTTGGACGGGGCCGCCACCACAGCGCCTAGCCGCTGTCGAGCCTGGCGTAGGTAAACACCGTACGTGCCGTGTATCTGGTGTCCGTATAGCCCAGCCGCCTGAGCTCCGAGACGCTCCAGCTTCGATGTGATGGCATATCGTCGCCCTGCACGAGCGAATTTGCGTACCTTGGTGTTCATCAGCCGATGCTTGTCCGCTCTCCTGCGTCTCGTAGCCCGAGCATGACGACCGCCCCCTCCTAGGTCCGTGCCAAGGAAGCCTGCGGTACGTTGTGCTCGCACTTGGAAACCCGCAACTCGAAGGGTACGGCACACCTGAAGAGCATCTGAATGGTGAGCGCACACCACGAGGAGGAGGAGGGAGAGAAGGATGGGGAGAAGGAGGGGGGAGGAGGAGGAGCAGGGGGAGGAGGAGTGGGAGGAGGAGGGAGAGAAGGATGGGGAGAAGGAGGGGGGAGGAGGAGGAGCAGGGGGAGGAGGAGTGGGAAGGGAACGAGGAGGGAGGAGGAGGAGGAGGAGGAGGAGGAAGGAGGAGGAGGAGAAGCAGAATGAGGATGAGGATGAGGATGAGGATGAGGATAAGGATGAGGATGAGGATGGGGAGGAGGAGGAGGAGGAGGAGGAGGAGGAGGAGGAGGAGGAGGAGGAGGAGGAGGAGGAGGAGGAGGGCGGCGCGCATGAGGGCGGCGCGCAGGACGAGGGCAGTCCTCCGAGATGGACGCTGCTGCACCCTGGCTTAGGGACGTGGAGCCCGCGGAGTCTCATACATGATCCGGGGTCCCCCACAGGTGGGCGCCCCCCCCCCCGCAGATGGGATGGGTCCCAGGGTTCCACAGCCGCCCCCCCCAGATGGGATCGGGAGCGGACGACGACGACGACGACGACGACGACGACGACGACGACGACGACGACGACGACGACGAAAACGACGACGACGACCACCCTCCACCACGCCACGCCTCCAGGGCCACGACCACAGGGCGGGATGTGCGGGACCCGTCCCATTCGCGAGGCCTCCGCGAGGCTCACGGGCGCACCCGTCCAGCGCGGAGGGGGGGGCGCGATCCCATTAGCACTGGGGGGGATCCCTGGATCACAGGGGCTCCATGAGGAGTAGGTGGAGGAAGAAGTGCTCGCTCCCGCCTCAGCGCCGGTAGCAGTTTTGGAACGCTGGGGGGCCCGATGCTGTATTTTTCCAATCCAAACGCCCTCTCCAAAAACATCGGGTATCGCTGAAGACCTGTGATTTTAATCTGTCAGGCCGGCTGGGCTTTTAAGCCAGTGGCTCTTTCCCTCGCCGGTACCTTTTTACTTCTGGGATGTTGCGATAACCACCTGGAGCCTCCCCCCCCAAAAAAAGGAAGAAAGAGTGGCGTAAGCATAAACTTTCGGTGGTCCGCGCAGGGTTCTCGGCTGCAGGCGCTGGAGCCCCCTGGCGGCGCCGGAGGCACCGCCCCCGGCGAGCCCAGCGCCAGGGAGGTGGGGTGTCCAGCGCTGGCTCAAGGAATCGGACCTCTGCACGTCTACGCTTGCTTGACAGAGGCTCGCAGAGGTGCTCGCAGGGCTCTTCGAGGTCTTCTCGCTCTGGGTCGCTCTACAACAGCTGCGCCTCGCCAAGAGCGTTTCTGGGGACACCCGAATGGGCCCAGGCCGCTGGAGGCCCGAGTTGTGGCCCAAAGACCGCCGTGGGGACGGGAGAGAGAAGAGAGAGGATCGAGAATCCAAATGTTTGAATGCTTTTCTGCCCTCTTGAGCTTCCGTGTGCGTTCTCGTCGCCCCTGGAGCCTCCTCGAGATCCTCATCAGAACACGCCCCAGGAATAGGTCTGGGGAGTAGCGGCACCGGTATGGTTTAGTCCCCCCACTGGGGCCGCCCTCGACGGCTTGCGGCTCTGGCAGGTACCCCATCTGCTGGCCTGTGTACCTCGTGCGCGCCCCAGCCGACGGCACTTCGGCACCGTGCTCCTCACATGGCCGCCCCTCCTGGGACCCAGACGCCCTCCCGAAGCCCTCCGCAGTCCGTTGCCCGCGCCTGCCCCAACGGTCGAGATCGAGCGTGCTCGGACGACACCACCCCTGCGCACCCAGCAAGGCAGCACTGCCCTTCGCAGGACTCCCCAGTGCCTGGGGCCGCAGCACCCGGCTCCCAGGACCTCCTGCTCCCACGGCTAACCGGCCTCGAACTTATCATCCATACCCCTAAGATTGACAAGCTCAAGGCCGACGACACCCTTAGGGACGTGCCCTCGGAAACCGAGGGATCCCCCAGCATCGGCACCGAGATAGAGGCGATGCCGAGCGTGGGGATCGGGATACGTCTCATGAGCTGGCGCACGGCGCAACCTTCTGTGTCCCCCTCCTCTCGCGGCCGCTCCTCCTCCCGCTCTCCGGGCTCCCCCGCGTGCGTATCACGGATCCGCTCCGCTGCGGCCCGGCGCGGGCTCCGACCGAAATCCGCGCGTGCTCCGAGCCCGCTCGGAAGAGAAACACGGACCGCCGCCGCCGAGAACCCCCCGGGGGTTGGGACCGACCCCTGGGCGGCTGCACGCCTGAGCCTTGACCTGCGCTGGGTGGCACTCGGCCGTGCCTGTGGGTTCTCGGTGGCGGCGGTCCATGTTCCTCCCCTGACCCACCTCCCAAACATTAGGAGGCAACTACTGGGAGGCCTTCGTCGGAAGGATTACGGCAAATTGAACCCCATGGGGGGCTTCTGCGCGGGATTAGGCCGCGGAAGTAAGCGGGATTGAGCCGGATCCAACAGGATCATGCCGGATGGAGCGGGATCTCGGACCCGGCGAAAGGCAGAAGTTGACCTCCCAGGAGCTGCATCCGAGCAAACGAAAGTTCGAGTCGCCCCAGGTACCAGCTCACGGGATTCAGGCGCCAGCGCGGCAGCTCGGGGAAGGGCACGCGGTTCAGGGCCAACGCCAGCCCGGCCGCGAGGAGCAGCGACGCGGCCGCCAGCGCCACGGCGGACGACGACGCGAACGCCCGGAGGGAGGCCCTCGAGGCCAGCCAGGCCGCCGCGGCAAGCGCAAGGGCTCCGAGCAGCACCGCGGCCGTGTACCACACGGACCACTGGGGCAGCCGACGCACCGAGGAACAGACAATCACACAGGCGTCAACTTTCGGAGGTCCGCGCGGATGTCTGGGATCGGCGCCGGACCCCCCTCCCTGGCGCGCGGAGCGCGCCAGGGGTGGCGACGGAAGCGCCGCCTGATCCGACAAATCAGAGCGGACCTTCGAACATGTCGGTTCATGCAATTTTTCGTTCCCCGGCATGCGTGCCCCGCACCATGCCGACCACGGCCGACGAGATGCGGGCCGAGTGGTCCCGCGCATCGCCGGACGAGCCGCCGTCGGAGGCGGAGCAGCTCTCGCTGAGGCGGTAGAGCGTCGACCGCATGCTCGGCGGCCCGGCGGGGCCCGCAATCCTGAGGCGCACGCAGACGTCGAGGGCGTCGGGGCCCGCGGGGGAGCCCACCTGGAGAAGGAACCAACACAGGCACGAGCCCGACCTCGCAGAGGTCCGCGCGGACCTCCTCTTGGATCGGCGCTGGCATCCCCCCCTCCCCGTCCCGGGCTCGCGGTGCGGAACTCTACGTCCCCAGACACGCCTTGATGTTACCAGCACGGGGCTCCCTGAAGTCCTCACCATTCCCCAGGGTCTTTTCATCCCGAGAAATTTCTCGACGGCCCCGGGGCCCGGCGAGGGCCCCCTGGAGGTCGAAGACTGCCAAGACCTTCTGTTGTGCTTTTTGTAAACGGCCCGACGCTGTCAGGGCCTGATGGTTTTCGGGTCAAAAGTCCAATCTCTGGCTGACGTTGGTGACGATCCAGGCAGCCCCGGAACGCTCTCTCGGCGAGGCGCAGCTGCCGGCACGCCTCCCGAGGCAGAGGGACGCCTCCCGGCACCGACGCAGGCGAACGCGAAAACGCGTGTTCTTCTTCGGCCACCGTGAGGTTCAGGGCCTCCTCGCAGACGGCCAGGACGCGCAGCGACTCGTTGCACGCGCCCTGCGGCGCGGCGGCCCGCCGCGCGGCTGGGGCGGGGCTGCCGCTGCGCGGCGGGCCGGGCGCCGGGCCGGGCGTGGCGCAGAGCTCGGCGGACACGAGCGGCGGCAGCTCCCCCCAGTGGTCCTCGATGCTGGGCGTGAGCTTCAGCTCCCCCGCCAGCGAGGCGGCCCTGGCGCGCCGCAGGGGGGCGGGGGAGGAGTAGGAGGAGAAGGAGGAGGAGGAGGAGGAGGAGGAGGAGGAGGCGGATGAAGGGGGAGGAGGAGGAGGAGGAGGAGGAGGAGGAGGAGGAGGAGGAGGAGGAGGAGGAGGGGAGGAGGAGGAGGAGGAGCAGGATGAGGAGGAGGGCGGGCGGGCCAGGGGCCTCCGACGATGCGAGTGTGCGTCGGCTGCCCGTCTTCGGACCCCTTCCGGCCCAGGCCCGGGGGCCGACCGCCGACGAGCGCTCGGCACGGTGGCTCCCAGACCTCCGACGACGGCTGCGGGTCAGGTCGGGCGCTCTTTCTTCGGATCGGCCCCCGGGGGCCGCTCTTGGGCACTGCTGCCATCGCGGACGGGTCCGGGACGGAAAATCCACCCCTCGGGAGGAACGGGGCGGGGAGCAGGCGCTGGCGGATTGAACAAAAGCAGGTCGGAACATGTTTGGAGAGTCCAGCCTCTGCCTACCTGCCTCATGACTTTCCTCCTCCTCCTCCTCCTCCTCCTCCTCCTCCTCCTCCTCCTCCTCCCTCCTCCTCCTCCTCCTCCTCCTCCTCCTCCTCTCCTCCTCCTCCTCCTCTCCTCCTCCTCCTCTCTCCTCCTCCTCCTCCTCCTCTCCCTCTTCTTCCTCTTCCTCGTCACCATCATCACTACCATCATCAACATCATCATCATCATCATCATCATCATCATCAGCATCAGCATCATCATCCTTGTCATCCTCCGCAGCATCATCATTGTCATCCTCGCCATGGTCGTCATCATCAGCACCCTCATCCTCAGCATCAGCATCAGCATCATCACCAGCATCAGCATCATTGCCGCCCTCATCATCATCATCATCAACATCAACATCATCAACATCACCATCATCTTTTTCTTCATCCTCAGCATCATCATCATCATGTTCCTCCGGATGCCGCTGCTGCGAGATCAGTCTATTGTTCGAAGTGGCTGGTGGCAACAGTAGCACCCCCGCCACCCAGCACACACCCCGTTGTTACGGTCTGCCTTGAGGCCTCCGAGGAACATCGCTCTCCCGCGCCGCGCAAGCGAATGGAGCTCGTGCGGAGTCCGCGGCCGACGCACGCGAAGGTGGGCCCAAAGTGGCCAGGTCCCCGAGCGCGCGCGCGCGGGATTCATCCCTGTCTCCCCACTCCAGCGCCCGCGGAGGCGAGAAAGCAGAGCGAGGGAGCCTTCCGAGGTCGCTCGTCCGCCAGCTGAATCGAGCAGATGCCGAGAGGCATCGAGCATCGGGGCCCTGTGGAGAGTCGGTCTGGTCATGACCATCCTCCGAACTGCCCGGCTGATCTCAAGCGGGCCCTCTAGCGGGGCGAAAGAGCGCGTACCTCTTGGGCCCGCGGTGGCAGTTTTTGGGGCCGCTTGGGGCTCGTTCTGAGGAGCGCTCCTCGATCCCCCCGCGTCTGTACCCCCCTGGTGGCCGTCCGCCCGGCCCTCTCCGTCCCCTCATCATCATCATCATCATCATCATCATCATCATCATCATCATCATCATCACCACCACCACCATCATCATCATCATCATCATCACCACCACCACCACCACCACCATCATCATCATTCATCATCATCATCATCATCATCATCATCATCAAGCATCATCGTCATCCTCATCCTCATCCTCATCCTCATCCTCATCCTCATCCTCATCCTCATCTCATCCTCATCCTCATCCTCATCATCATCATCATCATCATCATCATCATCATCATCATCATCATCATCATCATCATCATCATCATCATCATCATCATCATCATCATCGTAAGCATCATCACCACCATCATCATGTTCCTCGTGGTGCCGCTGTCTCTCGGCCCTCCTGGAGACCCAAACATCCTCCGATGCGTCTCTTCCAACCTCGGGCGGGTGGTAGGGGGGGTGACCTGAATGGGGGGTGAAGGAAAGGGGCCCTGAATGGCCCCTTTGGGGCCTTTTCCTTCACCCCCGATTTGTGTCACCCCCCCATTGATAGGGGAACGAACAATGACATAAACATGATAACTCGGAGGTCTGCGAGGATTTCTCGGATCGGCGCTGGGGCCCCCTGGCGGCGCCTCCCGCGCCGCCCCTGGAGCGCTCCGCGCGCCAAGGAGGGGGGCCCAGCGCGGATCCAAGAAATCCGCGCGGTCCTCCGAGTTTTTATGTTTACATGTCATTTTTCGTTCCCCTAAGGGTGTGCGCACCCAGGGGAGGGTCCCGTGCCTATCTGAGAAATCCGCGCGGACCTCGAACAGTTCATGACGGTTCTGTTCTGCCGTCATGCCTTCTTTTAGCTCGCCTGCCGAGGCCACAGAACGAGGACAACGATCCCAGATGTCCGACGTCGTGTTTTTTGTTGGACGCCCGAGTTATCTGGGGTAACTCGGGCCCGGGGTAACTCGGGTTCGGAATCCCGAAAAACGAACCCGAGTTAGCCCTGACCCGAGCTACCCCTGACGATTTGGGGCTCAGGACGCCCGAATTACCCGGGGTAACTCGGGCCCCGGGTAACTCGGATTCGGAATCCCGAAAAGCGAACCCGAGTTAGCCCTGACCCGAGCTACCCCTGATGATTCGGGGCTCTGATTTTTGGCAACGAGGCCCCTCAAAGTCTGGACCCCTTCCCGAGGGCCAGCCCTTCGTCCCGAACCGCCTCTTCACGGCCCCGCAGGGCCCGGCGAGCGCCGAAGAGCGCAAAACCACCGCCCCTCGCGGCTTGCCCACGACGCGAGGCTGCATGGCCTTCCGGCCCTCGCTCGGGCACCCCGCTGCCGTCGGGGGCGCTCCCCCCGCAGCCCGGGGGCGCGCGCGGCGAGGCGCAGCTGCTGGAACGTATATCCCGAGGCAGGGAAGCTCCTGGGGACCTCCGGAGACATCCCGAACGACCTCTGGCCTGGGGATGCCGGACGCCGAACTTCGAGCCGCGAGCATGCCTGGGCCGAGAGGCCACCAGGCAGTGCCAAGGGGGGTCACCACCGGGGGGCCGCCCGCTCCTCAGGGAAACGGACCCCCGTGGATACCCCAGAAGCCCTCCTCCTCCCTCCCTCCCTCCCTCCTCCCTCCTCCCTCCTCCCTCCTCCCTCCTCCCTCCCCCCTCCCCTGGGACTCCTCAAGCCCCAATTTCCAGGAGGTGGTGGCACTGGAGGCCTCCTGGATGGGGTCCGAATAGATGGGGTCGGAACATCGGCCCGCATCGGCGATGCATCGGCGACGCCGGCGATGCATCCGCGACGTGGGCGTGGGGAAGATCGGGCTCCACGTCGAGCCGCATCGCCGATGCGTCGGCCATGCGGCGCGATCCTCCGACCCCGTCTGCTCCGACCCCATCCGGGGAGGCCTGTAGGCAGCCCTGCAGGCGATGCCCCCTCGGCGGCGCGCTTGGACTAGGAGGAGGAGGAGGAGGAGGAGGAGGAGGAGGAGGAGGAGGAGGAGGAGGAGGAGGAGGAGGAGGAGGAGGAGGAGGGAGGAGGAGGAGGAGGAGGAGGAGGAGGAGGAGGAGGAGGTGCGTGTGGCACGGGCGCCAGCCGCCCCCCGGAGATGGCCCACGGGCCAGCGCGGCGGTGCGGCGGGTGGCACCCCCAACGGCGGCGGACCGCAGCTGCCCCTCTGGGCCTGCCCTTGCTGGTGCACGCGCGGCCCGAGGCCACGACCCCTTCCCCGAGGTGAGAAGAACAGGTATCGTGTTGGGAGGAAGGGGTGCGGCCGCCTACGGGCAAGGGTATCCGCATGTCTCCCAACCCCGTCCTCCCGACCCGGTCATTGTCTTCCTGACGAGGGTGCAGTCCACCCGTACGATAGGGACGCACGACAAGGGTGCAAGCGCCTTGAAGGGCCACGTTAGCGTTTGTCGAACGAGGTTGGCCAGCGAAGGTCGTTGAGGATATACCGACTGAGCAAGGATGCAAAGATAGCCTTGGAAAAGGGCTCACCCATACTATGTGGGTTGACTGCAATGTTTCTCCCCGGATCCGCTTTCGATGGTCTGGTGGGCCCAATCACGAGCCCCCGCAGGCCGAAAAGCGAGGAATTGTGCCTGGATGGGACAACAAAATCCATCGTCGGATATCTGGGCCCCTAATACTGGCGACCCCCACTGGCACTGCTCGGCGGCGAGCTTGGGGGGGTGGGCGTTGGGAAGGAGGAGGCCTTCTCAGAAGGCGGCGGGGCTTCTCAGAGGCCCTCCAGCCCTCTGGGAGGTCTTCTGCGTCTCGCGGGGAGGCTCGGGAAGTGTATCGGACAGCCTGGAATTCTGTGCCCTCGGGGGGCTCAGGAAGCATCTCGGACAGGCCGGGGGGACCCCCGAGCCTTCTGAGGAGGCCCGCCCCTCCTCGCTTCCCCCCGCGGGCTCGCCGCCGAAGTGCCCGTGCTGGTCAGGAGGGAGGGAGGGAGGGACGAGGAGGAGGAGGAGGAGGAGGAGGAGGAGGAGGAGGACGAGGAGGAGGAGGAGAAGGAGCGGGAGGAGCGTGCTGACCGCTTTCCGCCGCCGCCGTCGCCGCCGCCGAGGCGGCCTGCTGACCCCGACGAGCAGCTGCCCGTCGGGCAGCTCGCGGCGGAGGCCCGCCACCGCGCCGCCGATGGCCTCCACGGCGAGCACCGCCCGCGACAGGTTGGGGCAGTTGGGCTCCGCGCCCGCCGCCGCCTCGAGGGGGCCCAGGCGCTCTGGATTAGAAGCCGCGTTCGCGCAGATCGCGCTCCGCGAGGCGCGATCCGCGCGATGCTCTTCGGGCCGTGGCGCCGCCGCCCCCCCCCCCCCCCCCATTCGGCATCGGATGGGGCACCCATCGCGCCTCGCGCTGCCATCGCCCACACCGCGGAGACCCGAAGCACGACTGCAGTGGGTGCCAGGGCCACAAGGAGCCCTCCGCGAGAAGCCCAACCCCGAGAGCCCAGGACGTCCATGTATGCTTGGTGTGGGAACGCCACGCTTCCCACAGCACAACCATCGAAACCCAAGAAACCCAGGGCACCCTGGAGGCGAGCAGGGTGTTTCCTGGCATGGGTCCCCAGCGTATAAAAACTCGGAGGTCGGCGCGGATTTCTCGGATCGGCGCTGGACCCCCCTCCCTGGCACGCGGAGCGCGCCAGGGGCGGCGCCGGAGGCGCCGCCAGGGAGCTCCAGCGAGGATCCGAGAAATCCGCGCGGGCCTCCGAGTTTTTATGTTTATGCCATTCTTCGTTCCCCGAGTAATTTCGCACCCTCGCGGTGACTAGGCAAGCGCGTTCCGCTACTCGCAAAGGCACTACTCGCAAATGGCCTGGATCCGCCGTGGGGGATCTACGATATATTGCATCGAGGCGAACGTGTTTTTTTGTCGGACGTTCGCGAGCAGGCACTTTGCGAGTAGCGGAACGCGCTCGGCGAGTGACCCTGGTCGGCTACACGTAAGAGTGACCCTGGGTAAGAGTGACCGTTGGTGCGCGGCTTCTGGGGGGCCGCGCAGAGGCCAAATCCAGGCGCGCTAGCCGCTGCTACCGTTTCGCGTTCGGCTATCTGGGGGCCCATCTGTGCCCGCACTACAGGTCACTCCGGCGAAGGGCCACTCTTACGTCTAGTCGACCTGGCACCTCTGGCAAGGTGACGATCTCTACTCGGGGCGACCCTCCTCGCCCTCGGCCCCTACGCAGAGGGCCCGTTGTCGGACCCTCGGGGCCCTGCAGCAGGGCTGCAGCAGGGACCTGGGAGGAAGAGCTATACCTCGGTCGGGCATGCCCTCCTACAGGCGGGCTTCGGACGAAACTTTAAAACGTAGTAGCCAAAAACCCTTAAATAACTAAACATAGTAGAAAGATCGTCCCCATGTCATATTTTAGCTATGTTTGAATATACCTCCTGAGAGGGACGTGCCCGACTTAAAACGGGATGTATACCCGAGGGGAAGGGCTCGGGACCCAGGGCCAGCGGATCGGAACAATCACATCGGAGGACCCAGACTTCCGGCGCCTCAATGTTTTCGAAGCACGGGCCCCCGACCTCTCGACCACTTCCCCGGGACAGGCGTTTTTTTCATCCCGAGCGGTCCTGTGGACGGTCCTGCGGCCTGGTAGGGGCCCTGAGAGGCCGAACTCGAGGAAAAACCCTCCGTCTCGACTTTCTCGAGACGACCGATGTCTGGGAATGTCTGGGGGAGGAGGAGGAGGAGGAGGGGGAGGAGGAGGAGGAGGAGGAGGAGGAGGCGGAGGAGGAGGAGGAGGAGGAGGAGGAGGAGGCAGAGGAGGAGGAGGAGGAGGAGGAGGAGGAGGAGGAGGAGGAGGAGGAGGAGGAGGAGGAGCGGCCAGCGTCTGGACAGCACGAACGCTGAAGCGTTTCGCCGCGTCTTATGCCTCAGGGAGTCCCCGCCGGGCCCCGCCTGGGGCCGTCAAGGCCACGGCTGCGCGCCCGCCGCAAAGCGGGGGGGCGGCCCAGGAATCATCCCCCGTGCGCGCACGCTGCGCGATTCTCTTCGCCCTCTGGCCCTGGGGCCCTCGCAGATCGGTGAGGCTCGAGGGTCGACTACACGCAGGAGGTGGCCCTGGGGCGATGTTGTTCCCATCGTACTTGAGGGGCCACATCCCAGGAAAAAGTTCGAGCACCCAGGAAAGGATCGAAACAGCGTCGAGGGAGTATTGCCTCCCAGGGCCCGCCCCGCGAAAACCCTCCAGTTTCGGTGCTTTCTTGGTGCTCGAAATTCTTGCTGGTGGTCAAGGCAAATGGTTGGAACATAAGAACCCTGGATAAGCATGACCTTTGGTGCGCGGCTTTGGGGGTGCCGTGGGGGGACCAACCGCGCAAGACGCCACTACCGCACCTCGTCCGGCGATCGGGGGACCCCAGTGGGCCCGCACCAAAGGTCAGTCTTGCGAAGGGTCACCCTTACTTTTTGATTTACGGCCCGCAAGGAGAAGTCCAAAGGGCGGTATGACCGAGGCTGGGGCACAGCGCCAGTTAATTGGCGCGAGAGCGCGCGAAATGCATCTGCAAACCAAATTAGGAAGAGAGGCGGCCACAATTGGGCAACCACCGAACACAGGCCGGACCCGCAGGTGGGGCCGAAGGGTCACCCTTGCGCGCAGTCGAGAAGAATGCAGCAGAAAGACCGGCTCCCGGGCGCCAGTCGTGACCACCTGCGCTGCGGCGACTTTTCGCGACGGCGTCGGATCTCAGGGCCCAGCGTGTTGGAAAAATGGAGACGCAGGTCTCTCGCCGTTCGCAGCCTCTGGGCGTCCGCGCCCACCGAGGCAGTGGGCGGAGCTCCCTGCGAGGCCACGATCTGCGTGAGGGGTGCGCCGCGATGGGAGAGGGCAGGGAGAGGACGGAAAGGAGTGAAGCGAACGAGGAGCCAGGGCGGCGCTGCGAAGCAAACACAAGCCAACACAGCATGGTTGAACAAGATGGGGAGGAGTGAGGAGTGAAGCGTCCGCGCGGCGGTGCGGAGCCAAGACGAGAATCCAACGTCTCGGGATGCTGGGAAACATGTTGTTGCAATGCCACTGGCCCTCCATGGAACCATGGAGAAATTTACGGGTGCCTTGGGGACAGCTATTTGGCTGTCTTCGGGAGGAGGGCTTTAGCGCTGTCTTCGGTCAACGGTGGGGCCTCTTCCTGGAGGCCATCTTAAGGCAATCAGGGCAAGACGGACAAACCGCATCATTGCGCAACAGTGTGACAACGTGACTGTGGCTGCAGCCTGAGTACAACAATGAGCTCCTGCGACGGTGTTCCCCAGCGTGATCACGGGGTCGGTATACAAATGCGAATACGACAGATTTCCGCAACCTTCTCTCACATGATCATACCACAAGCCGATGCCGCTGTCGCTGGTCCAGCCATACCCACAATACGCTGCGACATCTTGCTTCCGACATAGCTGTAGGCCCTTGCGTGCGCAAGCTTGTGCAGCTTGACCCTCGCTGTAGCAATACCCATGAGCAACTTGACTCGGACCATAACTTGTACAGCTCGATCCTGGCGATGGTATATACTGGTATGCCGCCTGCGTGGGCCCCGGGGTAGGCATTGGAGCGGGATCCAGTGTTGGCACTGGAGTGGGCATCATCGTAGGAATCAAACCTTTAGTCGTCGTGACGGATACTCTGGAACTACATGTGGCCATGTGGGGACCATCTTCAAAGGATCTCGACTCTCCGCCGTCCCCACAGCACTCTCATGGAGGAGATCGAGCCATAGTACGCCCCTGGTGCTCCGCCCCCTTTCACGTCTTCTCCAGCCTCATCCTCCTCCTAGTCCACCTCATCCAAGTCTCCACACACTCCTCACACTTTTCATCCGCCTCTCATTCTCGGCAGTCTCCTGCTTTGAATCGGCCACAGTGGGACAGGAAGGGGCGTGCGGAAGAGCAGGCGGAGAGAACGATGACGAGGAGGAGGAGGAGGAGGATAAAGCCAAAGTGGGCAAGTCGAAGCGGGACGACGCCAAGGGATGAAGCGGAAGAGGTGAGCCGTGGAGAAGGCAAGGAGGCGACCAGGGTCCCGACCCCGGAACCTGAAGGGTCTGCCTGTTCGGCCGAAGGTTCTGATCCTTGCCCCCTCCACAGTAGCTTCCTCCTTCTGTTCCTGGCCGTCATCCTCCCGGTCGTACCTTCTGCCCCTCGCCACCGTGACAATGCTCTTCTCCTCCCTTCCCCCACTCCTCGCCCCTTGCCTTCCTGCACCTCCTCCTCCTTCTGCTGCCACCCTTCGCCTCCCAGGCCTGCGCCGGATCGAATCGCTAAGTCGGATCGGATCGGAAACGGGTCGCGTCGCCAGCGAATCGTCCCGAATCGAATCGAGATCGGATCGCTGCGCCTGGCTCTGGCTGGCCATGGGTCGGTGAATCGAGCCGAATCGAATCGAATCGGAATCGCGGCCCTGGCCCGCGAAGCGAGTCGTACCGGATCGATCGCAGGCGGCCCTGCCTCCCCCCGCCCTGCTCCTCTCCTGGGAAGCCCCTAGAGCTGAACAGAGCTGGGCAGCACCGTAGGACCCCGGCTCCTCCTCCTCATCGAGGCCGCCCGAATGGCGCCCGAGCACCTCTGGGGTCCAAGGATGGAGCGCCGCCGACGCACCAGTGACGTCGGGACGAGCGAAGCCCAGGCTCCGAGGTCGAGCCGCACCGCCGATGCATCGGTGAATGCTGCGCGCTGGTCCGACAAGCTCTGCTCGAACCTCATTTTTCCTCCTCCTCCTCCTCCTCCTCCTCGTACTCCTCCTCCTCCTCCTCCTTTTCCTCCTCCTCCTCCTCCTCCTCCTCCTCCTCCTCCTCCCTCCTCTTCGTTCTCCTCCTCCCTCTCCTCCTCCTCCTCCTTCTCCCCCTCCTCCTCGTACTCCTCGTACTCGTCCTTCTCCGCCTCCTCCTCCTCCTCCTCCTCCTCTCCTCCTCCGCGTACTCCTCCTCCTCCTCCTCCCCTCCTCCTCCTCCTCCTCCTCCTCCTCCTCCTCCTCCTCCTTCTCCTCCGCGCGACCCCAGTCGCCTCGGGAAGTGTCTTCGAAGTGTCTCCTCCTCCTTCTCCCCCTCCTGCTCCTCCTGTGCTCCCTGTGCTCCTGCTCCTGCTCCTCCTCCTCCTCCCCTCCTCCTCCTCCTCCTCCTCCTCCTCCTCCTTCTCCGCCTCTCCGCCTCCTCTCCTTCTCCTCCTCCTCCTCCTCCTCCTCCTCCTCCTCCTCCTCCGCCTCCTCTTGCTCCAATGTGGGGGGCAAAGGCTCGGGGTGGGGGGGGCTCCCGCTCAAGGGGGGGGACCTTCGAGCTGGAAGCGGCGACGCACAGCCGAGACATCGGCGACAGGGCCTGGACGGCGAGGGGCCGTCCGTTCCCGCGCGACGTGGGCCCTCGGGCCCCTGCTCGGCGACGAGTGTGCGATCGGGGGTCGTCGAGGCGCTGCCCTCGCGGCCTGCCCCCGCCAGCTTTACCCCCGGCAATGACGCTTCGGGGCCCGTGCCTCTGACTCCTCCGCCTCGAGGACGAACACGATCCTCGTGGGTATCAGGCCGTCGAGCTGCTGAACGCACCTGCCGAGGGCAAGAGCACTGGGGACGAGTTCAGGAAAAAGTCGCGACCCAGGCATCCGACGTCGCGGTTTCGTAACAACGTGGCTCCCCAGAGGAGCTCTGGACGCCTCTTCCCTGGGACCAGTTCTTCACCCCGAGTGGTCTTGCGACGATCTCGAGGCCCTGCGAGAACCCTCGAAGCCCTACATTGGCAAGAGGATGTCTGGGAACGGGAAGTCTTGTCCCACACCGCCCTTCAGAACGGCTCCGGGGCCCAGATCGTGAAAAGGCACCAGCTCACATCAACGGGCGGACCAGGAAGGCAGAGGCGGGAGGCGCGGGCGAGACAAGAGGCGGAGGATACTTGGGGGGGACGCTGTGAATGTGATTTCCGTCCACACGCGCAAACGAACCCTGTGGCGAAACGAATGGATGACGGACGGGGGGAGGGAAGAAGGAGGAAGGGGGGAAGGAGGAATGGGAGGAGGAGGAGGAGGACGACGACGACGAGCGGATGCTCCGCGCGGAGCGCATCCACGGCATCGCGTGTCCAAGCGATCGCGCCAGAATATGCCGACCGCGAGTGCATGGTCATGGATGTGTCCGGTAAGATCTGCTCAAAACCAGCCTTTGGAGTCCCCCCGGGGCCCACCTGGGCCCGCATCCCATCGCGGGATCGAGGCTCGACGGCCCCGCGGCCCGCAAGACGCCCCAGACGCCAAAACAACTGCGAAAGACGTCGATCCGCGAATCCTGTTCGTCGCTCGGAACATCGAGCGGCGGTCAGGGGTCGGGGGCTGCTAAAATCATGTGACAAGCGAGAAATATAAAAAAACAGTATTCAGAATTTGTCACAACAAAATAATCCCCAGACTATGTTTTGGCTATGTTTGAAGATTCCTCTTGTAGAGGGACGCGCCCGACTGAATATTCAAATTGAAGAGGGGCCGACCGTCTCGGCATTCCTACATGCCTGCCGCGACATGTTCTGAGAACCCCAAAACATACCCGAATCACAAAAGCACGGCTCTCAGGGCAGAAAGCCGATGCGTCACAGCAGGACCGCCTCGGCCAGCAACTGTGCTGAGAGCACCTCGCGCAGACCACAACGGCAGGCAGGCTCTCAGAGCATCCTCCGGGGGGCCTGTGAGCGCGTAGTATGAGGGCTCGAACCGACACGGTTACGAAGAGTGAGGAGGCGGAGGAGAAGGAGGAGGTGGAGGAGGCGAGGTGGCCAGGACGCTTCGCCTCTGCCTGAACAGCGGCGGCCGCGGGGAGGCAGAGGCTGGCGGCGCGCGCCCCGAGGGGCAGGAGGCGAGGGGGGCGGCCTCGCCGTGCGAGCAGCGGCGCGGCCCTCCGTGAGGCAAGGCGGGGGGGGGGGCCTCCCCCGGAGGTGCCGCTCGCTCCCTCCCCGCTCCCGCACGCCGGCCGCCGTGCTCCGTTCGCAACGTGGCCCCCCAGGCGCCGGGGCCGGTTTTCGCCACAGAGGGACCCCCAGAACCCTCTGGGGAGGGACCCGAGTCAGGAGGGCCAGGAGCATCAGGGATGGGGGGCCCATCTCTGCAGATGCATCGACCCGCACCGCCCAGCATGACGATCCGGAGTGCGAAGACGGGGACCTCAGGGAGGACACGTCTTCACTGTGTTCTTAGGGTCAGGGGCTCTCTCATCCTCGATGATGGGCCTCTTCCCCGGGCCCAGCTCTTCATTTTCAGCCTTCAACCCTCTGCGGACAGCCCCGGGGGGCCCAGCGAGTTCCTGAATTAACAGCCGACCGCGGCGGGCAGAAACTCCCGTCGTGTTTCTGTCGCGGCGCAGGGACTTCTGGGAATGCGAGGGCGGGGGGGCAACATAACATCAGCATCAGTGTCACGCCGCCGTTGGGGCACGCGTGACGCTGCCGAAGAAGCACCACAGATCCTCGGACTGACACGACGAAGCAGCACGCCGAAGGCCTCCCCCCCGCTCCCCCCCCCCACCGCGGGCGGGTCATTGGCAGTCCTCACCTCCCTCCCGAGAAAGAAGGGCCCTCTGGAGGCCAAACACGGCCATCAACCGTCCGCAGTGACTTTTGTGGCGCGACGCGAGGGTGCGCAGAAGGCATCTATACACCACCACCGTGGTTGGCCAGGGCCAGCCTGGGCCCGGGCATGGTGCGTATGCCCGCCGGGCCGATGCCAGAAGGGCGTATACACCATGATGGGGCCCAGGATGGCCCTGGCTGGGCATGGAGGTGGTGTGCATAGATGCCGTCTGCGGAGAGGGTGCCAGGGCCAGGAGCCGAGGAAGAAACATCTGCATCAGCATCAGCCTCCAGAGGCCCAACACTGTACAGTTGCGGACTAGAATGGAGAGCGCACACGAGAGGACACGAGACCCTTACAAGGGCTACATCGCAACACGAACGTAAAAGGCACGGGCCTCCAGAGACAAGACACAGGGGTACCCTCGACATGGCAGGGTCGACCTACTAACCAAATGCCGACCGTGTGCTCAACCTTCCGCCGTGACCTCCTAAGCGGGGCGAGGATGTCAGGGCCTCCCCTTCGAGCCCAGGCCCGACGGCCGCGCCTGAGGTCGAGGCGGGGCGGCAGCGCCGCGACGGCGAAGGCGACGCCGACGCCGACCGCGAGGGCGAGGACGGCAACGTACTGCAGCCACCCCGGGCCGGCGCACCGCCGGCGCGAGCTGGAGCAGAGCGTGAGCGCGGACCACGGCACCTCGGCGCACCGACGGTGGCTGGGCCTCCTCCTCCTCCTCATCATCATCATCCTCCTCCTTTTCCTCCTCGATCCTTGATCCTCGATCCACTTCGGTCCTCGATCCTCACCTCTCGAGCCTCGATCCACGTACTCCTCCTCTGGCAGTCTCGCGACTCGCGTCGTGGCAAGAACGCATCGTTGGGCCGACCCAGACATCCTCGCGCTATGGAAAACAACGAACCTGCGACGGCATGATGTCCCCGACCATCCTGTGGTGTCGGGTCCGTGTGATGAATCAACTGTGCCCTGCGTCCCCTCCTGTTTCTGCTCGCGTGTCCAACAACCCTCACACGCTTCGCTTCTCAATAGGGACCTCCACCGAAGGCCTCAATGGGACCGATACGCAGTTCCCCCGACCATGTCAGCACACCCCTCACACGCATCGTGGCCACATAGGGAGCTCAACCCCAAGGCCTCAGTGGGACTGACCGAACGGGGTCCCCCCGACCATTTCGGCACATTTCGTGACCCCCCACGCGTTTCGTGGCCCCATAGGGAGCTCAACCGAAAGCCTCAATCGGCTGCACCGAAGGCCTCAGTGGGACTGATTTCCTGCGGTCGACCATTCCCGCACACCCTCACACGTTTCGTGTCACCATAGGAAGCTCCACGGACGGCCTCAGTGGGCGCTGACATGAGCTGGCGGCACGCCATTTCGGCACACCCCTCACACGTTTTCCCAATGGGAGGGCCCGCAAGGCGGCGCCGCCCATTTCAGCGCACCCGTCACGAATCGAATCCCCAAGGAATTCCACATGAGTGCTGCCTCGTGGGGAGGGTCAGTGCGGCGGCGCCGTCCAGTCCAGGCGCACCTCCGCGGCACCATGTAGAGCCCCACCAGTGGACCCAAATGACATGGCCCGCATGGCGCACCGGCCCAACCAAGCTCACCCCTCACGAGGACCGAGGCCATATACAGTCGAGGCGTTGACCTAAGGAACCCGAAATAAGGAACGAGGCCCCTACTTTCCATAAGTTGGACTTCGATTTCGTATCGAAAACCTAAGGACAACCTGAGGCAAGCTGCGAAACACTTAAGGAACGCGGAGCCCCTCCCAAACCAAAAGGGTTCCTTCTTCAGGGTGCGCTCCACCTGGGGCGCCAGCGGGAGCGCCCGCACGGCGGTGCCGCCCCTGCTGGCACGCACACCTCGCCCGAGGACCGCGCGCCCCTTAATTATGGTGAGCTCCAGCGACGGCCTCGGTGGGAAAAAGTGTTCGCGCGTGCTTTTCCGCGCGTTGCGGCACATTCCCTCAAACACGCGCCGTCCACAGAGAGGTCCACCACCAAGGCTACTCCAGATTTCGTAATAAAGGGGAGGGGGTCTGGGCCCTCCAAGACAAGCCATTTCAGACCTCCCCCGTGGGAGAACCCTCCAAAGCATCGTCCCCAAACCCCCCAGGCCCTCCAAGATAGCCTGGAAGAGACCCCCCCCCCGGAATGAGACCCCCCTCCCTTTATTACGAAATCTGGAGTACACGAAGCTGGAATGGGCTGGATCCCGCGCTGGTTTGCCGATCCCTTCGTCCCACGGATGCTGCGGACCTGGGGCCCGGGGGCCATCAGGCATAGCCCTGGGGCGGGAGCTCTGGGGCCGTGGATGGGAGACAAAAAACCTGCTGGGAAGACGCCTGGGAATCAGGACGGAAAGCCTGTGAAAAGGTTGGGGCCTCTCGAGGCCCTGCCCTGGCCCCAGGACCACGAAACGGCCCAGGATGGAGAACTGGTCCCCAGGAAGATGTCCATCATGCCATCTTACCTCCGGGCGGCCACGTTGCTCAAAACAACGGCGTCGGATGTCTGGGGACCGCGCCACCCGGATGCCCCGATCAGATCGCAGCCCTGCCTGCCCGCGCGGTCGCTGGGCACTGCCGCGAGCCACGCTTGGGGGGGCTTGCTACGCGAGCCGCTGCTTGTGGTTCAAGGGGCCCTCGCGGAAGCTGTAAGGATTTTGCAACAGAGTGCCCGGCCGATTTCGCTAAACGGCCAACTTCCAGATTCCTGGCTGAGCTTCCTGCAACCGCTCAAATCTGGCGACATCATCAACCAGTGTTTGTGGAAAGCCGAGATCCTATGATCCCGCTTCTGGGAACTGATGTATGTAAATGTACGCATCCATAGTATAGCCGGCGGCCGAGTTCGAGGATTCCACAAGTAGCACGTGTATACATGTAAACGTATGGACAAGTGTAGATGTGTACATGTATATGCGCAGGGACACCTCATTGAACAAAACAAGTTGCACTGATAGGGACACTCAGAGTAGCAATACAACAGACTATGGGGTAGAAAGCAGACTGTAGAGGGCATCGAGCCGAACGCAGAAGTCTGATTGTAGAGAACACCTGTTGGAGAGACAGCAACAATGAGTGTGTACAGATGTACGTATATTTGTTTTATGTATGTATGTATGTATATATATATATATATATATATATATATATATATATATATATATTCAGGTGTATATATATATATGTGTGTGCATATGAGATGGTGGAGGGGCGGCATGTCGTGTATGGGCTGCGAAGGGCCCAGTCGTCTGCAGGTGCAAGTGCCGCATGGCGAGTGGAACGAGGGAGACGGGAAACTCTGGCTGGGTCCACAACCGGTGTGGCGGGGTGTGGTCACACACACGCAGCTCCTGCCACTGCGGCCGTCGCGGGGGGGGTCCCTATGTGGGGCCGCGAAGGGCGTGCGGGGTGTGCCGAAACGAAGAGCTGGCCGCCGTGCGGCTCCGGCCCCTCGGGCCTTCGGCGACGCTTCCCCTGGGACCACGACCCGTGCGAGGGGGCGTGCCGCAAGGAGGGGGCGGCCGCCATGCGGCTCCTGCCGCTGGGGCCTCCGGCGGAGCTGGCGATGGGGCCACGGGCCGCGCGAGGGGGCGTGCCGCAAGGAGGGGGGCGGCCGCCCTGCGGCTCCTGCCGCTGGGGCCTCCGGCAGAGCTGGCGATGGGGCCGCGAAGAGTCAAAAAGGGTGTGCCGAAGTGACCACGTAGAGTGCAGCAGGAGGAGCAGGGCAGGAGCAGGGAGGCAGGAGGGGGGAGGCAGGCGGGGGGGGAGGCAGGAAGGAAGGACGCGGGGCGATGCGTATTTTCAGAACGAGGACCAATCACCACAGACTACAGACTGGTTGGAGGCCGTCGTGCAGGGAGCTGAGGCTAGAGGACGGAGAGGGGCAGCACGCAGAGGTGGAGGGTAGAGAACTGAGCGTAGATATACATGTAGAGGGCAGAAGAGGCGGACAACCACGCGCTCGCCCGCCGAGCTACGCCACGAAGCGTCCTGTGACGGCCTCGCGGGGCCAGGCGAGGGCCATCTGGAGGGCCAACACTGCGAAAGCGCCTCCGTCTTCCTGGACGCCCGAAAGGGGCACGGCAAGAATGGGTACAGTGCCCAACAGCCAATGTTGTCCCAAACCAACCGCGGCCGTCTGTCTCAACTGGACACAGGCCGCGGCGGCGCGGACGGCGAGTCCTGCCCAAAGACGGTGCTGGGCACGGTGCCCATTCGTTCCGCACCCAGTTTGGGAGTCCCGGAACGGTGCGGTGACAGACCGTGCGGTGACCTCGAAATCCCCCCAAGACCTCACCACACGGTCCGTCGCCGCACGGCCTTGGGACCTCGGAGGCCCCTGTCGCCCGAGACGCCCTCGGAGAACGACCCGAGCCCCAAAACCGTTTGGGGCTGTCGCCCGAGACGTCCTCGGAGAACTTCCCGAGTCCCAAAACCGTTTGGGGGCCCCCGACCAGCTCGTTCGTGCCGAGCCCTGACCTCCTCGAGACACGCTGGGTGCCGAGGGAGGCGGCGCGCGGCCCGCGGGGGGGGGCCTCCCCGGCACCCCCCCGCGGCGCGCGGGCTCCCGCGAGGGGGGGCCGCAGGCGGACGCCGAGCCCCGCACGGTGAGGGCGAGGCCGGCGAGGAGCCACCGCCAGCGCAGGTCGCACTGGCAGCCCGCCGCCCACGTGGCCTGCTGCGCCGGACGGGCCACCGAACGCTAAAGTTAGGTGGGGCCTGTCCCCCTCCAGGGGGATTCTGGACGAGAAATCAAAAGTACACCGAAAATACTTTTAAAATATGCACAAATGGTCCAAAAATAGTCCCCAGACTATTTTTGGACTATGTTTGAATATCCCCCCTGTAGAGGGACAAGCCCGACTTCACGCTAAAAGCGGCAGGTCCTGGGATGTCTGCGCGGAGACGACTGCGAGCAGGTGGGCCCGATGCAAAGGACGTGCAGCCGGACTGCCCCGTGCGAAACCCACGACGAAGCCAAGCTGCATGCCACTCAGCGGAAGCAAATGGGAGTGTGCCGGATCAGCCCGCCGGTCTTCGACCTCGATGCTGAATTCAATCTCCCAGGAGCTGCATCCCAACCAACGGGAGCCCTACCGCTGCGGGTCAGAAAGCCGAAACACCAGCGGGTCCGAGCGGAGCACGTCTGCAGCCGGGTGAGCCCCAGCTGGGGGTGTCCGATGCCCTGGCGGCGACCAGATCAGCAGGGGTGCCAAGGCCTACGACGTCGTGTTTTTTTTCGCAGCGCTGCTCCCCAGAGGTCTGGGTCTCCCTGGGGAACAGCTCTTCCGCCCGATCAGTTGCTTGACTGCCCCGGGGCCTGGCAAGAGCTCACGACGCCGAGAGCAGGCAAAAAAATGAGAAACGTCTTGGAGTTCGGCGTTTCGACAGTGGGCGGAGGATTGGGAGGGGTGGGGACAAGTCTGGCTATGGACCTCTGCTCTTGATGCGACTGTCTGCAGCAGTGCATCCTATGGGGGAGACTCTACCTGCTCGAAACAGGCGCCCAAAATAGCCAAGATCTATTCCGGGGGGGAAAGGGAAGGGGGTGCGCGGGCCCGCGACGATCGGCACAACAGTGAGTAAGTAAACGATCACCTGTCCGTGGCGATCTGTGTCGCAACGCGGAGATGTCTGGGAGCAGGCCGAACCTTGGGGGAACACACACACACACATACCACCTGCGTCTTCGTGTCTCCATGATGCGAGCATGTCAGGGGCCTCGCCCTCGGGGCCCTCTGTGCGTGCGAGGTCGGCCGCTCGATTCCTCGAACGGGCGCGCCCAAAACGTGGGTGCGGGAACCGTGGGAGCGATGCCCAACAGCAGAGCTTTTCCAAATCCGACAGCGGCCGCCGTGGGGCAAGCAACTGCGCACCTCAGAGGGACAACGTTCGCGGCGGCGCCGGCAACGAGGCCTGCTCAGAATGGGCATGGGGCTGCTGATTGTCTTGACCACCAGTGCGCCCGTACCCACTCCGATCGCACCGATCGAGGGGGCCGAGGAGGAGGAGGAGGAGGAGGAGGCGGAGGCGGAGGCGGAGGCGGAGGAGGAGGCGGAGGCGGAGGAGGAGGAGGAGGGAGGAGGAGGAGGGAGGAGACGGAGGAGGAGGAGGAGGAGGAGGAGGAGGAGGCGGAGCGGAGGCGGAGGAGGAGGAGGAGGAGGAGGAGGAGGAGGAGGAGGAGGAGAGAGGAGGAGGAGGGGAGGAGGGGCGGAGGAGGGAGGAGGAGGAGGCGGAGGAGGAGGAGGAGGAGGAAGAAAAGGAGGAGGACCCTCTTTGGAGCGCGCCCTGCATGGCCGCGGGCGCCGCCCAGGCCGTGAGCATCACCGGGAAAGCGGCCTTCAGGAGGCCCCGAATGCACGTCGGCGACGCGCTCTCCTCGGGGGGGACGCGCCGCAACGCCCCGGCCGGCTCGGGCCCTGCTGGGCCGCAGCACAGCTCCCGCACGTCCTCAGACCCCCTCGAGTCATGGACAAATCACGACGGAAGGCTTTTCGCTATTTCCAGCCGCCGGGGGGGCCCTTACCAGGCCTCGGGACCGTCGAACAACGACTCAGAACGAGAAACTGGTCCAGGGAAAGGGGTCGAGGCCTCTGGGGGTGCACGTCATGAAAAAAACATGACGTCGGGGGTCTGGGTCTTCCTCTCGGCTACACGCAAGAGCGACCCTGGGTAAGAGCGGCCTTTGGTGCGCGGCGTTTGGGGGGCCGCGGGGGGGGGGGAGGGGCAGAAGCAAGCGCGCAAGACGCCACTGCCCCCTCGCGTTCGGCGATCGGGGCACCCAGTGGGCCCGCACCAAAGGTCATTTCGGCGAAAGGTCAGTCTTGCGTCTAGTCGACCATCCCGAGCTGCTCCTGGACGGTCCCCAGGCCCGCCGCCGCCGCCGCCGCCGCCGCCGTCGTCGTCGTCGCCGTCGTCGTCGTCGTCGCCGTCGTCGCCGTCGTCGTCGTCGTCGTCGTCGTCGTCGTCGTCGTCGTCGTCGTCGTCGTCGTCGTCGTCGCCCGGAGGCTTCCGCAGGGGGCCCCCTTGTGGGCCCCGGAAACGGCAAGGCCGTTTTTTCACCGTTTCCAAAAAAATGCCCATTGAAAATAGAAACGGCAAAAAAACGGCGACCGGAAACGGCAAAAAAACGGCTCCAGGATCGGAACCGAAGCCGGAACCGGTCAAAAAACGGCGACGGATCCCGTTAAAAAACGGCGTCGGAACCGGCAAACAAAAACGGCAAAACGGAACCGGTAAAAAAACGGCCCGGTCGCTTCCAGGGCCCACTAAGGGCTGGCCCACCCCCGTTGCGCCCGCAGGCTTCCGCAGGGGGCCCGCCACAGGGGCCTGGTGACCTTCCAGGAGGGCTAAAAAATATCACGCGACTTAAAAACCTATCCCAGAGCTATTCTATGTCTTGGTTTTAGGCTGTTTCGTGTCGTTTTTTAGGTTCTTAGGCCTCCCGCGCTAAAAAAAATAGCTCTCTGGAAGGTCAGGGCAGAGGGGGCTGGCCCCCCCCCGTTGCGCGGGCCCCGCTCTCCGCGCTCGCCGCCTCGGCCGGCGCCGCGCCCCCGGGCGCCGCCGGCGCCCCGCCGGCGGGGGCGGCCGCGGGCGGCAGCGGGCCCTTGGGCGCGGCGGCGCGGTCCGCCCGCGGCCCGCCCCGCCCGGCACGGCGCCCGGACCGCTGGCGGCGGAGCGCTGCCGGGCCCGCTCGCGCAGAGGAGGAATCGGAAGGGGTAGGAGGAGGAGGAGGAGGAGGAGGAGGAGGAGGAAAGGAGGAGGAGGAGGAGGAGGAGTGAGGGGAGGAGGAGGAGGAGGAGGAGGAGGAGGAGGAGGGTGACGGGAGGCTTTTCGCTGCCTTCGGCTTCTGGGAGCCCCTTCCTGGGCCTCCCCTGACCTTCCAGGAGGGCTAACAAAATAGCACGCGACTTAAAAACCTATCCCAGAGCTACGTATGCTATGTCTTGGTGTTAGGCTGTTTCGTTTCGTGTTTAGGTTTTTAGGCCTCCCGTGCTAAAAAAATAGCTCTCTGGAAGGTCAGGGTCGGGGCCGTCGAGAGAACGACTCAGCAGGAAAAGCCGGCCCCGGGGGGTGGATCGAGACTTCTGCGGGTGGACGTCATGGACACATCAGGACTTCGCGGGTCTTGGTCGCCAGAGAGGCCCAAACATTCGACGTCGCCGTCTTGAACATTCCACTGGCCCTTCGAGCGAAGGTTGTCTAGCGAGTTCATTCCTCTTCCAAGAATCCTCTTCCCTTCGGGGAGGGGTACCCTCCCTCCCCTCCCTGAAGTTTTTTGGGTGTTTGGTGAAGTGGCGAGGGTTCCTTTTTCGCTCAAGATGGCTCCAAGAGGGCCTCCCATGCTCCAAGATGGCCTCCGAGGCGGCTCAATATAGCCGCAGATGGTTCAAGATAGCTTCCGACATACCTCCAAGAGGCCCGACGAGGGTCATAAGACGGTTCCAACTGCTCTCGGAGCCCACACAGGACCCCCCCAAGAGGCCCAAATTATTCATCAGCCTGAAGACAATCAATGATGTGTGACTTCTCGCCTTTTCGCTTACGTTGCGCTTGTGAGACCTCAGCGTGGCCCCAAGATGGCCTGAGAGAGGGCCAAGAGGAGCCCAGGAGGCCCTCCAGACGGCCCCAAGAGCGCCCAAGAGCGGCCCAAGAGCGCCACAAGAGGGCTCCAAGAGGCGATGTTTATCGCCCCCTGGGGAAGGGGGGGGGGCGAATCGAGGACCCCCCCCGTTGATCATCGATGGCCTCCAAGTTGGCACCCAGAAGCCCGCCAGGGCTCCCAAGGCACCCTCAAGAGGGCCCCAGCAGGGCCCCACGACTCCCCAAAAGAGCCCCTAAAGGACCCCAAGATCCCCCAAACGAGTCCCAAGAGGGCTCCGATGGGGCGATCTTGAAGGCTCTGTCCTCGTCCTCGCTGTCCTCAACCTACTCGTCCTCGTCCTCGTCCTTACCCTCGTCGTCTTCCTTTTCCTGTTCCTCCTCTTTCCTGTCGTCGTCGTGGTCGTGGTCGTGGTCGTGGTCGTGGTCGTGGTCGTGGTCGTCTTCCTCCTCCTACTCCTCATCCTCTTTTCCTCGCCCCCACGTGGGCCCCATGGATGGTCCGAAGCCCTCCAAAGCCCCCCCCTGGCTCCCAAAGATCTCTCTGTTCACCCTGGTTGCCCGCCCGCGGCTTAGGGGTTCTAGGTCACTCCGCTACATGGGCGGAGCCCAGTTGGCCTGGATCGTTCACCCCCCTCACCCACTTGGGTTTGGACCCACCTGTGGGCCAGTCTGGGCCAGAGGCAACCAGCTGTGACACCCGCAGATATTATCTCCCCCATATATCCGCCTGGCCCCCCCCCCCCCCGCGGTCCTCCCAGTGGGTCTGGGCATCCCCTTCCCCCCCCCCAGGCCGCCTGCAAGGCTGCCGCGGGTGAGCCGCCTGGCTGCCCCACCCCGCCGCCGCGGCCGCCCTCGAGGCCCCCGCCCGCGGGGCTGCCGCCCGCGGGGCTGCCGCCCGCCCGCGCTGCTGCGGCGGGCGGGCCCGCCGCGGGCGAGGCCGCCGCGCGCTGCCCGACCTGGCTGCCCGGCGGGGCCGCCCGGCGGGGACCGCCGGGCCGCCCGCCGCCGCGGCCGCCGCGGGCGGGCTCGGGCCGGCGCCGTCTGGCAGGCCGAACGCTGGCACCCGCGGGCTGCGCGGGGCCTCCGCCACCGGCGCGAACTCGGGCGTCACGGCGGCGGCCGACGCCTGGCGGGGCTTCGGCCGCGGCGGTGCGGCGGCGGCGGCCGCGGCGGCAGCGGCGCGGTGGCGGCGTCGCAGAGGCGGCACCGTCGTGCAGCCGCCAGGCGTGCCAGGCCCAGACCCCCTCGCGTCGCGAAACGAAACTACGACGGAAGGCTCTGGGGCGATTGGGCATCCTGGGGGCCTCTGGCCAGGCTCGGGGGCCAGCAGAGAAAGGCTCGCGCGAGGCAAAAGCTACCCCCAGGGAAGGGGTCCATCACTGTGGGTGCAAGCGAGACGGCAGGACTCTGGGGGGGAAAGGCTTGCGCTCGAGCAACATTGTAGAAACAAAAACAGTTGCCGGATCGGACAAACACACGCTGTTGCGCAGGTGGCCCTGGGCTGACCAGAAACGGCGCCGTGGACAAGAGCCCGGGGCGCTCTGGAGCAGCTCTTGGTCGAGAGCTGGTCGGCGTTTCCCCGGCCCAGGCGCAAGAGATGGGGCCGGGGGGGCAAACTCGGCAAAAACGCGCCGTCCCTGGGGCAAGACAAGGTCAGGCACGACGTACCCGCTGCTTCGCGGGCGAGGCCCCCAGGCCGCGACCGCGCGAATACGGAGCGCTGTGGCTCGCGGCCGCCCGCGCGCGGAGGAACGCATCCGTGCGGCCGCGTACCCGCGGGATCGCGCCCCGGAGCCCAGAACGCGAATGCGTGGCAATGCGCTCGCCGCTCTTGGGCAAAGATTTCCGGCCGGAGGAGGAGGAGGAGGAGGAGGAGGAGGAGGAGGAGGAGGAG